TTTCCCCTTAATTTTATATGAAAGACCGTATCTTAGGTAGGTTAAATTGCATCTTTAATATCATAAGTTAGGAAACTAGTTACAGAATATCAATTAGAAATATAGGATTAAATACTAATTTGTTATTAACTATTACTGCTTCTTGAATCACGAATAGAACACAAGCAATGTTGTTGCTGTTAGGTGTTGTAAAGATGGCTCCGACTCGTAGTGATCTAAAGTAAGAGATTGGAAACTTGTCCTATCCTATGCCACCCTCATGACTGCTGCATGCTAAGCCCATTCTTACAGCACCCATGTCAATTCATCTCCAGGAGGGTCTTCCTCTCTTTTGCTATCTTTTCCACCATTACATTGTTTTCCAAGAACTGGTCTTTCCTGACAACATGACAAAAGGCCCAAAGCATGTAAGATGAAATATCACAATCCTTGCCTCTAAGGAGCATCTTGGGTTGTACTTCCTCTGAGACAGACTTATTTGTTCTTTTGCTCGTCCATATGATATCTAATATTCTTCTCTAATATCACAATTCAAAGGCATTGACTCTTATTTGGTCTTCTTTATTCACGATACAACTTTTTCAGATGCATAGGAAGCAAGTGAAAATACTAATTGCTTGGATCGGGCACATTTTGATTTTTAAAATGATATCTTTGCACTTTAGGACTTTGAGGAGGTCCTTGGCAGCAGATTTTTCCAATATAACAACTATTGATTTCTGATTGCTGCTATGAGGAATGTTGATCATAGAACCAAGGAAAATGGAATGATTGATAATGTTAATCTTTTCTTCATGGATTATATCTCAACATCAAGAAAACAAAAGTCCTCACCACTGGACTAACAGGCAACATCATGATAGAGAGACAAAAGATCAAACAAGCAATATATGATCTTCTTCTGGGAGATAAGAGGATAATCAGTGACATCAGATGTCAAGTTCCTTATATAAGTGGAAAAATGAAAAATAGCAATAAATACTGAGTAACACTGTCTAGCAAACAAAAGAGGCCTATTCTTTTTCTACAAAACAAAAAAAAAAGACTTAGAAATTACTCTTCCATATTCTTTTTGCCTATATTTAGTATTTTACGATCAAGCTCTAATGAAATGTAAATTGTTTCAATAAAATTCTGCTTTTCTTTCCATCTCTCTGTGTAAACTTGTTAGTAATGAGCCTATCACTAATATCCAGTGTAAAGCTTAACATGTTTTGACAGCAAATAAACGTGAACTTTTTTCAAGTAAAAAGAAAAAAAAAAACCAATATAACTGAGTACCCAATAAGCCCCTGATATTCAAATGCTCTATATTTTAGATGCCTTTCATTATTCATTATACTTGAGTGATTATGTAACAAAATTAGATTCTGTTATACTGACAGACCATTTATTTTATCTATAAAAGAAGATATACTGGAACAATGTCCAAAAATGCTTTCATTATAAACAGTATTTTTCATTTTCACATGAAACAAGAATCCTCTAAATATAAACTTCATTAATCTGAAAAGTTAATAGATAATTTTCAGGTTTCTCGCATATCTCTTTAACTGAGAGTAGGTTAAGAAACATTGAAGGGTGGAGGGGTGGGGAAATTTGAAAGAATTTGTTCTTAAAACAATGTCTTAGAATTTTGTAAATAAGCTAATAGAAAATTAAGAAAGAAACTTCTTCCTTATCATCTGAGTTAAAAACCTTAAGAGCAATCTATTCTATTCTCAAGCTGGTCAGGCATTTACAATTCATGTCTTACACCACTTCCAGAAAAAAAAAAAGATTGAAAATAAAATCAGGTCATCTTTTTAGGATTATATCCTAAAAAAAGAGTGTAAAATTATGCAAAATAACAAGTTTTAAAAATGCTACATCCTCACATAAGATAAATCTCTTTATCCTGATATCTGCTGCATTAGCAATCGAAGGAAGAGTCACAACAACCCTCAGTAGGTAGATTATACAACTTTGTTTGCAGAAAGCAGAGTACCTCAGATGCTTATTGCAGATGGTTAAATACTATACAGCCTTCAATATGGATTATATCTCAACCTCAAGATGAAAACTAAGCAACATCATGATAGATGGAAAAAAGATTGAAATTGTAAAAAAACAAATACATCTTGCTTCAATCCACAATCAACATCCTTGGCACCAGCAGTCAAGAAAGCAAAGCATGTATTCCACTAGAAAAATCTTGTCAAGACTTCCTCTGAGGTGTTAAGTAAGGAACAGTGTTGTCATTTAAAGACTAAGGTGAACCTAATCCATGCTGTGGTCCTTTCACTTGCTTCCTAAGTATCAGAAAGCTGGATGTGGACCAAGTATGACAGTAGAAGAATCAATGCTTTTGAGTTACAGAGTTGAAGAAGAGTGCTAAAAGGACTGCTAGAAAACCAAGCAAATATGTCTTGGTGTGCTCCATAGAGGGAAGGATGATGAAATTCTGTCTTACCTACTTGAGGCAAGTGGTCAGAAGAGGCCAGTCCTTTTGAAGAAGAGCACTATGCTTGGAGAGGGTCAATGAAAGAGAGGAACTCACTGAGACGGACTGACACAGGGAAGGAGCGCTAGGTTCAAGCACAGCACTGCTGGTGAGGACAGCGCAAGACAGGTCAGGGTTCAGGTTTGCTGTTCACAGGGTTGCTAGGAGTCCTACTCAACTTGACAGCACCTAATAACAACAATGGTTGTAACATACTAACATACTAGACTGTGTGGATCACAACAAATTGTGGCCAACTTCGAGGAGAATGAGAATCCCAGAACACTTGAAACCTGTACTTTGACCAGGAAGCAGTCCTCAGAACAAAGCAAGAAAATACTGCATGGTTCAAAATCAGCAAAGAAGTGCATCAAAGATGCATCCTGTTTTCATTCATTTTTCAGAAGACTGGACTTTATGAGGACGAATGTGGCATTAGGACTGGAGGAAGACTTGTTAACAACCTGCAATATGCAGAAAACATAACCCTGCTTGCTAAAAATGAGTGGGGGCCTAAAGCGCTTACTGCAGAAAGTCAAAGACAAGGGTTTCAATAGGGATGGAAGTTTAACATCAAAAAGACAAAGATTCTCACCATTGGGCCAATTAGAAGCACCACAATATAGAGAAGAGATTGAGGTTGTTTCAGTTTGAATCAACATTCTTGTCACAAGCAGTCAGGAAAACAAAAGACAAACTGCACTGGGGAAAATCTGTGGTCAGAGACTTCCCCAGAGTACTGAGAAGCAAAGAGGTCAGTCTAGAGACTAAGATGCGCCTGATTCAGGTCATGGTATTTGCAATTACTTACTATGCATCAGAGAGCTGGACAATGACTAAGGATGACAGAAGAAGAATCAATGCCTTTGAGCTGTTGTGTTGGAATAGAGTCTTGAACATACCATGGACTGCCAAGAGAATAAACAGCTCTGTCTTGGAGAGGGTAAAACCAAATTTCTCCTTGGAGGCTAGGACTTTGAAGTTCCGCCTCACATACTTTGGGCGTGTGGCCAGGAGGGACTAGTACTTAGAGAAGGACATCATGCTAGGAAGAGTGGACAGCACTAGAGAGGAAGACCCCCTAGAGAGATGGACTGACATTGTAACTGAGGTAATGGGGGTAGGTGTGTTAGAGTCAGTGAGACTGGTTCAAGATAGGGCCAGCTTCAAAGCTGTTATACACAGAGTTGCTATGAGTCGCAGGCGACTTGATGGCACATAACAACAACATATATTGTAGATGATCTGTGGTAGCTTAGTAGTAAGGGGTTGTGCTGCCAACCCAAAGACATATGGTTTGAACCTATGAACTGCTCCTTAGGAGAAAAAAAAGACCATTTCCTTCTGTGTGATTTACTGTCTCTAAAAACCTCCAGAAGGGGCAGATATGAGTCAGTTCTGACTCAACAGCACGTAACAACAAAAATATAACTTACAAGGCTCATAAATTATAAAATTTGTCTTTGAGTATTTCATTTTATAAGTGCTAATAAGTAAGTGATTCATTATCCAGGAGGCTGAGCTCTATGAGGAGAAATATGGCATCAGGACTGGAGGTAGACTAAACAATCTGTGTTATGCAGATGACAAAACCCTGCTTGCTGAAACTGAGGAGGACCTGAAGCGCTTGCTGCAGAAGGTCAAGGACTGCAGCCTTCATTATGGATTGAAGCCCAACATCAAGAAAACAAGCATTCACACCATTGCACTCACTGACAGCTTCATGATGGATGGTGAAGAGATTGAGATTGTCAATAGCTTCAGTTTGCTTGGCTCCACAATAAACACTCTTGGTACCAGCAGCCAGGAAATTTGGAAAGACTGCTGTCAGAGACATCTCCAAAGTACTGAAGAGCAACAATGTCAGTCTGGAGACTAAAGGTACACCTGATACAGCATGGTCTTTGCAATTATTTGCTATGCATCAAAAGCTAGACAATGTTTAGGGATGACAGATGGAGAACTGATGCCTTTGAGCTGTGGTGCTGGAGAAAAGTGTTGAATATACCATGGACTGCTAGGAGAACAAACAAGTTCATCCTGGAGAGGGTGAAGCCAGGATGCTTCTTGGTGGCAAGGATTCTGAAGCTTCATCTGACATAATTTGGACATTCTGCACGTGGAATCAGTCCTTGGAGAGGGACATCATGCTTGCGAGGGTGGAGGGTCAATGCAGAAGAGGAAGAACCTCGATGAGGTGGACTGATTCAGTGACTGAGTAATAGGGATAGGTGTTTCAGAGACAATAAGATTGGTATGGGATAGGGCAGGGTTTAGGGCTGTTGTGCATAGGGTCGCTATGAGTTGCAGATGACTCGATGGCACACAACAACAACAAAAACAACAACTCTCCTCTTTTAGCAAATTCAAGAAAAATTGAAGAGTAAAGTCTGAAATTAATATTTCAGAAAGGCATGGAAGCAGAATTAAATAGCATACATGACTACAGTAAAAGAAAATTGCTTCATAAAGTAATTCTTTCATTTCCGATATATTATCACAATTAACAGTCACTTACTGTGTAAGTTATAGCTGCCAACATTCCAATCAAGGTGAGAGAACTAATGGAAAAAGATAATGCAGCTAATCCATCTACAAAGAATAAAAAAAAAGAAGTACTTGATTAGATACTCACTTAAATACATATACAGCTTTATGCGCAAGTATTGATGAATCAACACATAAATATGAAGCTCCTCACACATTCTGAATTAATCAATCCAGTAGTATTACCACAACCTTGGAGAACTAATTCCAAGTACAGAAAAGAATTTTTTAAAAGGTTCTTCTGATTTCTAAAATATCTTTCACTTTAAGATTTTCTTTACTTTAACTATTAACCTTAAAAAGAAAATTATTGCATAACCATTGAGTCTAAAAAAAAAGTTGGCAAAATACTAGAGACTCAAAATTTGATTAAAAGTTATCCTGGCCTTTTTCAATGCAGATCCTGAGAAATAAGATTACATAAAAAAGCCACTAACTTTGATGCTTTCTTCCTCTCTCCTAAATCTTGATACTTCATTCCTTTATCTTTAATGTTCAATTACATTTTTAACATACAACCTAAAAATGAAAACTTAATTGAAGAGTTTATTATCCTCTTTAATTTGAAATGAGCTAACTTCCCCGCAAGTAAGTGAAAACAAACATAAAAATGACTAAAACAATAATACCAGAAAAATATGCTAATAAGTTAGAAAATTATTTAAAGGAAGACTAGTGAATGAGGAGCAAGGATGACCCTTTCAAGTGAATATACCAGATTATGTAATAAAATACTACATAAATTTGAATATTCACAACTGAGAGCAATACTAGTTTTTTTCTAATTTTAATAGATTTTATTAGATATATATAATCCAGTCTGAATTGCACATCCTATGGCACTAAATATAAAACTTTGATTAATTTAGTACATACTCATGATTAACATTTAAATTAGAATAATCTTTTTAATAATCATTTCTCAATTTTACATAAAGCAGATTATCAACTAATCCTCAATTTAAACAAGGGAAATTTTTAAGATACTGAAGATAAATTCTCAACTACCAGGGCCCATGGACTGAACTTGTATACATTATGATATAATAAAATATATCCTATCATTTAATAACAAAGACTCTAGCTCTGTTGGCTTAGTGGGTAAGGAATTATGCTGCTAACCGAAAGGGAGGTGGTTTAAATTCACTAGCCGCTCTGAGGGAGAAAGATAGACAATCTCTTCCCATAAAACTTACAGCCTCTGAAGACTCATTGGGGGGGTGGGGTTTGAGTTGCTTCTAACTTGAAAGCAATAAACAACTACAACATCATTTAGTAAAGGAACTAAGGTAGGGCATATAATTCATAAAATGCTGGGCTGCTAACCAAAAGTCAGTAGTTCAAATCCACCAACTGTTCCAATGGAGAAAAACAGGAAGTCTCCGCCCATAAAAAACAGTAATCCGACAGAAGATCCTCATTAGTCAGAACAGCCTTACTAGCAGAAGATTTGCATTTTGAGGAAAAAGTTACAACTTAGCAAAAGGCTACTTCCATTAAATATGTTATATATACAAAGTATATTACTATGCTATAGTACGTACATATAGCATAGTAATATACTCAATATAGATGAATTTTAAACATTATTAGTAAAGGAAGACAGGATTATATCATATATGCATATATCATAATTCATTTGATATTTAAAAATTAGTCCATAATGGCAGAAATCACAACTGTGGTTGTTTGTCAGGGGAGAACATACTGATTGAATGGAAATGCACAATGAAGAAACTTAAGGAGTGATGGGTAGGTTATGAATTGATTTTAGAATGTGTTATACTGAATATATACAAAAGTCAAAGCTCAAAATGTAATGTTATTCAAAATGGATGACCCTGGAGGACATTATGCTGAGTGAAATATCTCAGTCACTAAAGGACAAATATTGCATAGTGGCACTGTTGTAAAATGAGACTGACAACGGGGTTGGGGGGAGACTGAGAAAGATGAGATAAATCATATATACTTCACTGAAACAGATGACAGAGCAAACGGTTTAAAAGTTAGGTATTAATGTTATT